GAGTGATTTTAAATGTATACTCCACCTTAATTAGTATATTTAAAAAAGACTTAATTTAACAAATTATCTACTCACTTTTATATTTTTTCAATTTTATCCATTATCTTTAAATTCTTTTAATCTTGTTTATTATCTTTCACATTTATTTCAATTTTATTTAATTTGTTATCTTAATAGAAATCTTATTATTCTATAAGAAAACATTTAGTCTTTTAATTATATTTTTTTTGATATTTTAGTCCTTAAATTTATATGGCAAAACCCCATAGAATGTCCTTCAACTTTTCGAGTGTGTGGGACTTTACCCCTTACATTACAATGTGTGATTTTATACCCTCTTGGTATTCTAATTTATGATAATAAGACAATATTGAACGTTGAGGGGTCACATGCACCACATGCGCCATTAATTTTCGCCATACATGTATAGGTTAGTGATATATTGGCTTTTTTTTACACGTTGGCGGTCTAGCCTAGATTGCTCGTTAGTGGAGCCAAACAATTTAATTGTAGACCCCATATGAGTTAAAAAAAAAAAATGAAAGTCAATAATTTATCCTCTCATCATCATCCCTTTCGTTCAATCTCTTCTTTCTTAAGATCTCCATCTCCGGCGAACTCAAGTCCATATTCTTGCTTTTTTTATTTTTATTTTAGTCCTTAAATTTATATTAACCATAAAAATAGTTTTTATTTTTATCTTCCTAAATGTTTTAATTCTTTTAGCACAGCTTTACAAACTTTATAAATATATATATATCTTATAGTAACTTATCAGTTCCATAGAGTATCATTTTAACTTTTATTGTATTTGTAAAATTTACTCTCGAAACTTCTTGTTCTAAATTTGTTAAGTTTCTCTCTTTGAATTGAGTTAGTTGGTCAAGTTTATTGCAAATTCTAACTAATGTATCTCTATAAAATATTTTTTGAGTCATCATATTTTATTAGGATTATAGCGTCATTCTTACAAAACTTATAGGACTATTCTTTTCCGTTAAATCTAACAAAAATTTTGTATAATAAATTATTTTGAGATATTCTTCAAAGTTTATAGATAATTTAGAAAGAAAACAAACATTTTAGATTACAATTAAATTAAATTGATAATTAATAAACGAATTATTAAATTAACCAATTTAAAAAAATTAATTATTTTAAGTATTGTACATAAAACTTAAACTTAAACTTGCTCAAAAACAACGTTTATTTATTAATAAATTTATATTTTAAGGAACATATAATCACACAATCAATTATATAATCTAATAATAATATTACCTATACTTTATTCACAAATTTAAAAATTAATCCTAATATCTACGTACAAAAATAAAATAAAATAAAATATGCAGTCGCGAAATGGTGGATTGCAAAATTGCTATCTCAAACTGTAATTGCGAGACAATTAGGCCTTTTAAGTTGAGAAAGTAGCAAAAATACTGCGTTGTGTGGCGGTGAGGCGGTGTTTCACCGCCACTAAGTTGCAAATCGCTCACCTCACCTCCCTTACTTGAATTTCTCGGAATACAGCAGAACCCAGAATAACATCATCATCATCATCATCCTCCATCAAAGAATTTTGAAGAAGAAAAAGGGAAGAACCCTAGCAACTTGTACTCGTAACAGCTCCAAATGAGCGGTACCAGTACCGCCAATCTATTACCAACGCCACCCCAGGAAGATGCTTGGATTGTCACTTACCGGAAGCTGATTTCTCACTGGCAATCTGTTTCTCGGTCTCAGCATGTAAAGTTTCTATCTTTTTCTTCAGGAAAAGTGGGAAGGAGACACTGGATTTTGTTAATTTCCCTTGTATCTGTCTGTTCATTATTTGTTGCTCGAGAATTTTTTGGCGCCTGTATTTTTGGGTTTGGTTCATTTTACTTGCTTTCATGTTTGCGAATTCAGTTGCTCGTTAATTGCCACTAAAATTCTCCATGGAGAAATTTTTTTGGGTTGTGTTGATGCGTTTTTTCTTATAAAGTTTGGAACTCGAGAACCCTTGTTTGTAAAGATGGTTTTGTGTATTCCTTATGACTCCTAATGTGTAATTCTGTTGTTAATTACGTTTTGTGGAGTATTTTATTTAATCTTATGTTGATTGTTTCAGCATTCAACAGTGCCGATATCGATATCTAGAGTTAATCAGTTTGATGCTGCAAGGTTGGACATTGAGATGTCAGCCATGCTAAAAGAACAGTTGGTTAAAGTCTTCTCAGTGATAAAGGTACTTTTCTTATGCACATCAAGGAATTATTGGTGTGTTACCCAAAAAAAAAAAAAGAAAAAGAAAAGGAATTATTGGTGGAGAAACTGAAATTTCTTTATTTTGATGGTTGATTTTGCTTATTTATTTTGCTGGAATTAGCCAGGAATGTTATTTCAGTATGAAGCAGAACTTGATGCCTTCCTCGAGTTTCTCATTTGGAGGTTCTCCATTTGGGTAGATAAGCCTACTCCTGGAAATGGTCTCATGAATCTCAGATATAGAGATGAACGTGCTATAGAAATCAGAGGAAAAGGTAAGAAGGTCTGGAAATCTGTTGTATTTCTTCTGCTCTAATATGGCCAGGCTTCAATATTTTAACCTATCCTACATAAATAATATTAAATTTGGTGAATGGTGTAAAGACTGTCTCAGCATTGTTCTTGGCTTGCCATGTCTTCACAAGATTAAGAACTATCTATCCTACTTTAGATTGTCTTGTTGGATTCATTAATCATTTTTGCAGTGACCTCAAGCTTTATACAAGCATAAAAATTGCTAGCTTGAGATTTTCTCAGCTCTCATAGAAATTTGTCGAGCATTTTCTCAGCTCAACTTGCTGACAAGCCTATTTGAGTTTTTCCCAAACTTGAATTAAGTTTGATCTTTTATAAAGCAGAGGTGCATAGCAGATATGTTTATAGTAATTTTTCTGTGGAAATTGGGATATTTTATTTTCCAATCATATGTTGAACCCCAGTAAGCAGGGTGGATGCTAATTCTAAGTACCTTTTATTTCCACATTTTCATTACTTACATATAATTTTTTCTGCCTTCATTTACTATGCAGTCAGAATGGGTTTGGAAGGTCCTGGACTAACTGTTGCTCAAAAGATATGGTATTGCATTGCCAATGTGGGTCGGCAGTATCTTTGGGCTCGTTTGCAATCATTCTCTGCTTTTCGTAGATGGGGTGATTTTGAGCAGGTATTTCATTGACATGCTTCCATGTTCTTCTCTCCCTGAGTAAGAAGTGAGTCTTTGAATTCTCTAATTATTCTCCTTTCTTCTTCAGAGGCCTTTGGCGCGCCAAGCTTGGGGTTTTATACAACGTATTGAAGGACTCTACAGGGCTGCCTCTTTTGGCAACCTACTCGTATTTCTATATACAGGAAGGTATGTTCCAGAGCATTTTTTCCGCTTTGAACTCAAAATTAATTAGGAATTGTAAGTCATGTATATATGTTAAGTAAGCACATTTGAAGGAACAAAAATATGAAGCATAGTGATATAATTTCACATATTCCACTCTTTGGTTTCTGTACATGTCATCTTATTCTCTTTTTCTGATCATTGGATTGATAAAAATACAGGAAGTTTAAAAGTTGGAAAATTTCTAATTATCTGAAAGATGTTTTTATTTAATTAATCACCTTAAAACAGTAAAGATTATTCATTTTTCATCTTTTATTTACTGCAGTTATAGGAATCTCATTGAAAGAGCTTTAAGAGCAAGGCTTGTCTATGGGAGCCCTAACATGAATCGAGCTGTTAGTTTTGAGTACATGAATCGCCAGTTAGTATGGAATGAATTCTCGGTAATCCTTTTCCTCCATTTTCAAATTGACAATCCAGTTTATGAGTATATGAAACTCAATTTGAAAATTTTTTGCATTCTTTTTTATTAAAGCTAGTAGATAGACATTAATCATTATTTTGTTGGGTAGTGCTTCATCTGAAATGCTGGATTATCTCCACCTGTTGTTATTGAGCATTTTTGCCAACTAATTTTAAGCTTAATGTTGATACATATGCTATAGAATTACACTGTGATGTAAGTAACTAACTGAAAACAAAGATAAATAGTAAAAAAAATAAATTTGATGCTAGGTGTGGACAGTGATCTTAGGGGCATAAATTTGCAAGTTCTCCCATTGTTTTTATATTGATTTGGTGTGTATGTATACCAAAAGAAACTGAGTCTCTTAGTGAGAAGTTATATAATTGACTGTCAGAAATACAATAATCAAAGATTACTATAAAATGGTGAATTATACTCTAAAATAATTGATTATTATTCACTAGTTATACTAAACTGGCTGATGTGACTGGTTGATTTATAATCTGTCAACTATTTAGATTCAAAATAAGAGAAATATAAATTTAATTAAATAGTTACTATGATATGTGGCTATCTTCTTATAGTTACTATGATAAAAATCCATATTATTTTTGACATGCCTTGAAAAAGAAAAACAAGTGAGAAGACATTGTTTATTACCTATAATTTTTCTCAGTTATGGTTCTCTAGATAAATAAGATATTCCTCTTATGTATGAAAGAAAAACTCTCCAACCCTTTCAATCGGAAGTTCCATGTTCAAACCATTCAACTGTCTCCTTGAGACTGTTATGGTTCTTTCTTTGGCATATCTGTCTTCTTTCTATTTGTTTTCTAACTTTTATGTTTATATTTTGATTTATGAGTAAAGGGTTTTCTTCTTTCTTTGCTACTTGTCAAGTTCCCTTTGTTTCCTATGTTCTTGGATGAAGGTGTTATAATACTTATTTCTTTTACTGATGTGTAGGAGATGCTATTGCTGCTTCTCCCCCTTCTCAACTCACCAACCATTAAAAGTTTGCTCCGTCCATTTTCAAAGGATAAATCTTCGGGCTCTTCAGAGGATAACTCTTCTTGCCCTCTTTGCCAGGCAAGCCCAACAATTCCATACCTTGCCCTCCCTTGTCAGCACAGGTACATCAACTGATTTTTGTCCGTTAGTTTATAACTTTTGATTTTAGGAACTAGCACTGGAATGAAATCCAAAACAGGATGGGACCGCTTGCTAGCAATTTAGGGGACTAATTAGAAATGATAAGCACCTTACACTCAAACACTGGACATGTTATCCAAGTAATATGTTAAATCAGCGTAAAAAAATGCTGACACGTACTTTTGGCACTATGTGTTTAGGGTATTCATTGGCACCTTGCCATTATGGAAGCAACTTCAAGGAACTATTTGGATGAAATAACAGCTTGGCATTGTTTAATATGATCATTAACTTTCAACCCTGGCTCTTGATTATTGCGGCTAATTAACAGTTTCCTGTTCACAGTTATTGTTACTACTGCCTTCGAACACGATGTGCAGCAGCTCCATCATTCCGGTGTTCCAGATGCAGCGAGCCAATTGTTGCCATGCAACGGCATGGTGGTAGTAGTGATGCTAAGACTCACACTCAATAGTGGAGGAGGAGAACGAGGAAAAGCATATTGTAAACAGCTGATGCTGTCTAAAAGAAATGCTCGAAATAGAGACACCTACACAGATCAATTGGGAACCATTTTTTATCTTTTTTTTTTTTTTGGAAGTATTTGTACCCCAATTGAGTTATTCTTTGTCATCTGTTACATTTATAACGAGCTTATTTTTTAAACTCATTAAAGATTTGTCAATAAGATCCACGTTTTTCTTGTTCTTTGTTTTTCTTCTCTTCTTTGGCGAATCAAGCAAATGAGCCCTTGAACATGTCAAGAGGTGGCAAAAAGGCACCTTAACTGAAATCAGTCGCAAATGATCCTTTAAACTCGTGAATGGTGGCAAATCAACCCTTGATAAATGGCCATGTCAGTATTTTCTTAAAAACTAACTGTTCTCTAATTTGAATGGATTTCATAGCTTACTTAGACGTAATGTGGCTCATTGAAGTCCAACATGGTCTCTCATGTCATCAAACTATTAATATTTTCGAATTTTTTAAAATATTCTATTAAGATTTAATTATTGTAAATTTTTTCATCCATTAAAATTTAATTATTTGCAATGGAAATTAATTGGATTAATTAAATGTCAATTGTCACTTTGTCAAGCAAATAAGAATTGAAAACCTATGTACTGTAAGATGGTTCCACATACGTCTAAGTAACATCTTTTCATTCATGAAAATTATCTCAATTTAAAAATTTTGGAGTAATTGTAAATTTAAAATTTAGAAATAAAAAATGGAAGTTTGAAGGAAGAGAAATTGAGAACTATGAAATTACATGAACTAATTTTTTCATAAAATTAATTGTTAAAACATATATTAATTACACTTAGATTAGAAAAACTGTTATTAAATTTATTTGTCTTTTTTTACCCCTTATTCTTTCAAGGAATTTTTTAACTTGTCTTTTAAAGATTAAAGTTAATGATGTATTTACTTTTTCTATTAATTTGTATAAAAAAATAAAATTTGATTTTAATTTTATCAATTATTT